TCATGATCCCGGAGTCCTGGGATCGAGTCCCACATTGGGCTCCCAGCTCAGCGGGGAGCCTGCTTCTCCCTCTGACCCTCTCCCCTCTCATGCTGTTTCTCTGTCTCTCTCTCTTTCTCTCAAATAAATAAATAAAATCTTAAAAAAAAATACTTCTAGGAAGATAGTATACTAATATTAGATAGTATACTAAAATTGAATTTGTATAAACACTTTTGGGAGGTGTAGATGCACAGGCTTGGCACTTTTAGAGTGGTGGTTCTATTTGTGTGAAGAATAAGGGGACCCTTTCTCCCAGCAAGGTGTGGGCTACATTTCAGCCTCTCCTTGCTCTTTTGGCTGGGTGCTCTTGTGCACTGTACAACCTGCTCATCAGTATGAGTTGGCCTGTTAAGGAAAAACTGTTTTCGTTCTGTATGATTTTGAGGCTTGCATATGGGATTTTTTTTTTCCTTCTTTAAAGCCAATAGAGAGAGAGATAAAGGGAGTGGCGGTGAAGAAGGGAGTCTTTGTGAGGCATCTGTTTGGCTCAGGTATGGTAGTGGGCACTGGTTTATGTATATCTTTTATATATAATGCTTACAACATTACTGCGTGTATTATTGCCCACACGTTTTAATTAAAGAAACTGGGCTTGGAGATGAAGTGATTGGCCCAACGTCATCAGTTAATAAGGAGTAGAACTGAAGGAAACCCAGATTATCTATTTCAGAGTTTATGTTCTTCCTGAAAACAAAACTCAGGTGCCGTTTTACATTATGTATTTCATATAGACACAGCCCTAAGTCACACACCACCTCCTGACCAAGAGAGCCACAGAGACTGCCTCTGTTTCTGCCAGTGGTGCCCATTTCCTCATATTTGGTGCAGCTGAGTTACAGGCATAGTGCTGTGTTCTGAACACCCACTGCTTTTGCCCAGTGGCTCTCAGGTCACCCTGGATTTTCACCAAGGCCTTGCCACGTGCTAGCTGTGTGAGTATGGGCACATTCGTTAACCTTTTTGTGCTTGGTTTCCACATCTTTAAGGTGAAGATACCGATAGATACTATCTTGTTGAACTGCTGTGAGAATTGAACAACGTACTCAGCACATTCCTTACCCGCTGTGCCTCTATTCCCTCATCATTAAGATGGGTTAGAAACAGTACCAATCTCTCAGAAATATAGAAAGGATAAAATAGGATAAAACCCATACATAATAAGCAATTGATAAATAACTATTTAAAATGGTATTTTTTTTCTCAATTGAAATAAGAGAAAGAACCTCAGAAATATTAAATAACTTGCTGAGTCACACAGTCAGAAAATGGTAGAACTAGAATTTGAACCCAGGTTTCTCTGATTCTGAATGCAATGTTTTTCATTTTTAAAATATTCTGAAAGAAGAAAAAAAAACACAAAGAAGCAAGCACAGTAAATAAGTCATCTCCATTTATTAAAGCTTGTCTGAGAAGCTCCAGGTTCACCAGCAGGGTGAATCTTCATGACGATCCATCATTGAATTAGTATCAAGTGCTCAAGAGGCACCTGAATACCTGATATGGGATAGGATTGAGATGTTTTAGAAAGATGAACTTTTCCTGTTGAGCTAAAATGGAGTCAGTCTTTTTGCAGAATGAACCTGACATGTTGTTAGTCATTCCCCTAGCAAATTCAGATCTTACAGCCAAGATGTGGAAACAACCTATGCATCCATCGACAGATGAATGGATAAAGAGAATGTAGTGTATACATACAATGGAATACGATTCGGCCTTAAAAAAGAAAGAAATTTTGCAATATGGGATGAATGGATGAGCCCAGATGCTAGGTGAAATAAGCCAGTTACAGAATGACAGATACAGAATGATTCATTTATATGAGGTATCTAAAATAGTTAAGGTGGAATGGTGGCTTGAGGAAGTGGGAGTGACTAATCAATGGTCATCAAGTTTCAGTCAACCAAGATGAATAAGCTCTAGGGATCTGCTGTATACCACTGTATTGTACACTTAAAATTTGGTAAGAGGGTAGATCTCATGTTAAGTGCTCTAACCACAATACAATAAAATTGAAAAAAATTCAGATTTGAGAATCTGATGATTTTTCATAATGAAAGATCCTAGGCACTCTGGTTAATATCCTGGCTCATTCCCAACTCAAGTAATTATATTCCCAGCACCCACTATTACCCTGCAGCTTTTTGTTTGTTTGTTTTGTTTTGCATTTTCTCTCTCTTTTTTTTTTTTTAAAGAAGGGGAGGGGAGCTTGAAGGGCAGAGGGAGAGAGAAAATCTCAAGCAGGTTCCACACCCAGCACAGTATCTGATGTGGGACTCAATCTCACAACCCTTAGATCATGGCCTGAGCCAAATCAAGAGTCGGACGCTTAACCAACTGAGCCACCCAGGCGCCCCTCCCTGCAGTTGTAATTATGAAGTGTGTTTTGCTTCCCCTGTGTGTCTGTATTTCACACAGGCATGTCAGAATCATCTCATAGCTGTAAGAGTCAGGATTTACTGGGAACACTGTGGCTTAAATAAGATTTTATATAAACACATTGCATAATGTGAGTTCTTTGCCCTTTACCTTTTTACCTTTTCTTCAAGTAATTTTTAAAAATGGGGTTAAATCTGATGTCCATGTACAGAATTGTTCAATGGTACTGAGTCTTGATTAATCATTTAATAATGCTAGCTTTATTATCTTTCATTTATCAAGTGTCATCTCTTTGAACTTAAAACTAAGATCTATTATATCATCTTCTGGTTGAAATTACTTCTGACTTGAATTACTGGGCCAGAACTTTTCCAGGGATGATTTCTTGAGCTGTGAAGTGACGAGGAAGCATTTTCTCAGTTTTCTGTGTTTGGCAGGGACTGTTGGATGGAGTGATCCACCAATTTCAACCAAGTCCACAATCTCAGAGATTGGGATTTTTCCCTGAAGTTACTTGTCTCAATATGGTTTTATTGACCCGAAGTGCTAACACCACAGAAATTGAATATAGCCTGTTAATTCAGACCTTTGCTGCAATTTTCCCAAAATGCACTTCATCCTCTTTGTCAACACTCCTGCTCCTGCCACATGGTGTATTTAGATATACTCTACTACCAGCTCTCCTGGTACCTAGCATTTCTGGCCACATCATTTCTAAATTCTTTAATGAAACCATTCATCTCCTCTTCTGTGTCTCACAGACAGCTTAACCTACAGAGTTTTCTCCCATTGTTTAAAGCTTTTGGTTCCATTCAGGATCTTTTATTTATTATAGACATTACTAATTTTAAAAGAAATTCCTAAAAAGTAGAGGACAAACAGTTTATAAGAGATGTTAGGTATGTGTGTCTCTGGATTATCCTAGCTACTTTTATTAATAGGCTTACAGTTCATTTCTAGATATATGTATATGATTCAATCTATTTTTGGCTCTTACTAGCTTTGTGAACTTTGACAGTATCTATCCTCTCCAATATTCAATTTTCTCATCTAAAAGATGAAAGCACAGTCATAATAATTTTAATTCTCATGACGAATAAATGAGGTAATTTATATAGAGATCTCAGTGCACAATTCCTGGAGTAAAAATAGGGCTCCGTAAATGTTAGTTTTAAATGATAACAATGATTATGATGATAATAATAATAATTATAAACCTGAAATTGAACAACTATATATAGCCAGGGAAGCATTTTAATATGAAGCCAAGAATTTAAGTGGAATCAAAAAGAAACATTCTAATTGAAGTCTTCTTGAAGGTTGAGATAAATTGATAGTGATTAAGATATTATGAGAAAGATATCAATTTTTTCTAGTTGATTAGTATATTTTGCTAAAAAGGTATCTGCTTAATGAATCATATTCTTTTAATCCATGTGACTTGAGCATAAGATGCATGGATACCCACTTGTCATGTTTCTTAATAGGGAGACACTTAAGGGGAGGCAGAAAGATAGTTAGGGGGCTCCTCTTTGATTTACAGTGACCTTCAGAAGTATGTCAGATGGGGACGTCCAAGTATTCTTTAGGTCTTTGAGTGGCGTGATTTGACATACTTTGTGTGCGTGTGTGTGTGTGTGTGCATGCGCGCACACACGTGCCCGTGCACACATGCACAAGACAGAGTGAGACAGAGGCAGAGACAGAGAGACAGAGACAGAGAGAGACATTTGAGAGCAATTGTGTCCTGAGACATTTGAGAGCAACTGTGTCCTTACCCAGCTGTCATGGCCCCATGGTGGACATTATAACTTATGTTAAACCATGGTCTGTTTGATTATTATATATTACTTTAAGTAAACGTACCACTTGCTGGTTTTAAAGAAAAAGAAACTATGAGAGATGGGATGACATGCCCCGCAATCATTCCCGCAATCATTGAGGCTTCAAGAAAACCAGCCACAGGGAAACCAAATGAACAAAAAAGGGAAAAGGAGCAAGCTTGCCACCCAATCTTTATTAAATCAATTGCTTCTGATCTTCTTTGAAAATCACTTCTGACTCAGTTTCTAGAGTCCCATATCTTTCTTTGATAATTTATTCCAGAACAATTAAAGTTTTTGGTCAGAGGAACCTGTGTTGACAACTGTGATGGATGGATTTTGTTTGTGCCCTCCTAATGGTGTTACTGATTTGGCACAGAAAAGTAGTTCCTCTCTTTTATAGTTAAAGAAATCAAGGCCTGGATTTGTTAAGACAGAGAGCTTAATGTCTATAATAAGTGAGTAGTGGTTAGAACTGCTGAGCCCAGATCTGTAGCACCAAGATGGAAGGTAGATTTAAGACATGATAGATAATTTCATACGGAAGTCTTGAATTTATAGTACCGGAAGATTGAAACATGTTTTTTTATGCTTTGTTTAAAAGTCATGAAAATTATCCAAGGTGGTTACTTTACAGTACCATAGCTTTGATTTAATGGGACTAGCTTCTCTAAACTGGACAAATTACTTAACATCGAGAACTTTCTTTAGAGTTTTATTTTAGTAAATGTTACTCATGACCTGCTTTTTTCTCTCTAGACCTTCTCTTACCATGCCCCACAGGAACCTGACAGGAAGCTGCAATGTTAATTGTGGTTGTAAAATACATGAGTATGAGCCAGTCTGTGGATCAGATGGAATTACATACTTTAACCCTTGCCTGGCTGGCTGTGTTAACAGTGGTAATCTTAGCACTGGGGTGAGTACATTTCACAAGTTCTGGTACTGTTGTTGATCCAACATCCTGTGACAAGGACGTGTTAGGATTCATATGCTAACATGTGGCTTCAGTCCCTCTTTTCAAGAAACTTCAAATAACCTACAAAATACATCCTGACAAAGAGCCAGAGGAAAGAGAATTATGCAATGCTATCATTTTTTCCCCCCAGGGACGATTGCAGAATGTGGGTGCAGTGATTTAGTTCCACATCAGCCCTCTCCCACTTTACATTCTGTGCCAACTCAGTGAAACGTGATAGGGTTGAGGGCTAGGCCTCCCATTTCTTGCTCTGCCAGGGCCCTTGTGATGTATTTGAAGGTCAAGATGACCACATTTTGGTGCCGATAGAAGAGAATAGGAGAGCACCTTACCTGATCAGAGTCTGTGAAGATGAGCAATGGCCATTTTTCATATATTATCAGTTCAAGCTCACCCTTTCCTTCCTTCCCTCCTTCCTTTCTTCCCTTCTTCCTCCCTCCCTCCCTCTCTCTCCCTCTCTCTGTCTTTCTTTCTTTCTTTCTATCTTTCAACTTTCAGAGTAAAGATATTTCTGTCAGTTCAAGAATAGGCTATTTTGAGAATTCCCTTCCCTGTGAATTATAAATAGGCTGTAATACTGTGGGAGGTTTTCATATTCTACTCAGTTCTTTACTGAGCCTGGTCTCATTCTTTGCATAAGAACAGATTGTAGGAGGCTGCTTTAATTAAAAAGGTTAAGGTGCATTGGCTTGTACTGTGTAGGTGTTAAGGGATTAGACCGTTGACTGTATGTTTTGGGATTGTCATTTGATTTCTGAGTTTTAAGCTGTACTGATAAATTGAGAAATCCTGTTGCTGGCTACCCATTATATAATTGGGATCACCACCCACACCAGTGTGTGACCAAGTTGGAAGAGACAACAAGATCTGTTCTTAGTGGCTAAGTCCTTCCCCGGGAGTGACCAACCAAGTCCTCTAATGCACAGCCCTCATTCCTAAAAAGAGGCCAGCAGTCCCTGGAGGACAGAAGGCCAAATGGCACCCCATCCTTATATTTGTTGCTACTGCTTCTCTAAGTGGCTGAGAGCTCACAATGACAGTGAGTTCAGCTGATGTCTGTTCAGTAAAAACAACATAACAGGCAGAAAGATTAATTGGTTGCTTTTATTTGAAATACCTTTTTAGTTCCTTGAATTAGCTTTTTTCAAATGAAACAGCCAATGATATGTTCACTGGTCCTGGCCCTGGAGCTGTCATGGCTGCATTGTGGATTCTCTGCATTTATTTAACAAATATTTACTTTAGGTCCTACACTGCGTCCAGGCAGGCTGATGCTAGGTGCTCTGGTAGGCACAAATAAACAGAAAGCTTAGTTCCTGTTTTTGAGGGGCTTCTCTAATCAGAGAGCCCAAGAATTACAACAGCATATAGCTGTGACCAAAATGAGCATATGGAATGTGAACGCTCTAGAACAGTGTTGAAAGCTCCTTATAAAAGTTTAGGTTTAAACGATTTGGCTAAGCAGACACTGTTGGATGCACACTTTGGATCCTTACTGTTAGCAATGAGGCTGTATTTTCCGTTAAATATTATGTATATTTTTTTAAATTTAAATTAAACTAGCCAACACATAGTACATCATTAGTTTCCAATGTAGAGGTCAGTGATTCATCAGTTGCGTATAACACCCAGTGCTCATCACATCACGTGCCCTCCTTAATGCCCATCACCCAGTTACCCCATCCGCCCACCCACCACCCCTCCAGCAACCCTCAGTTTGTTTCCTAGACTTAAGAGTCTCTCATGGTTTGTCTCCCTCTCTGATTTCTTCCCATTAAGCTTTCCCTCCCTTCCCCTATAATCCTCTGTTTTGTTTCTCATATTCCACATGTGAGTGAAGCCATATGATAATTGGCTTTCTCTGATTGACTTATTTCACTCAGCAAAATATTATGCATGTTTAAATACTAGAGCTATTTTAGGGCTTTTAACTTTGTCTTAATTTTCCTATGCTTTAGCTTGGCTCACAACCGATCTTTGTTATCCCTTAGATAAGGAACTACACAGAATGCACGTGTGTCCAAAGCCGGCAAGTGATCACTCCACCTACAGTCGGACAGCGCAGTCAGCTCCGTGTGGTTATTGTCAAAACCTATCTCAACGAAAACGGCTATGCTGTGTCCGGGAAGTGCAAACGGGCCTGCAATACCCTTATCCCATTCTTAATTTTTCTCTTCATTGTCACCTTCATCACAGCATGTGCCCAACCATCAGCCATCATAGTAACACTCAGGTGAGAACCGAACTCAACATTCCAAGCTGGGACTGATGTGGTAACGTGGAGGGGAAAGCAAAGTCAGACGGTGCGGGGAAGCGCTCAGACATTTGCTTGTTGAATTTAAGAGAAGTGTTTTCCCATGTCAGGAAGAGAAAGGAAGGTTGCAACGTTTCATACCCCAGAACTTCCTTTATTCAGATGGGTTCTAGTCCTGTAGTTTAGTGAAACTTCTTTTGGGTGCCTTTGCTTTCTGAAGTCTGGGCCCTACAAGGTTCAAGATCAGGAGCTGAAAGCTGTCACCATGTTAGCCACAAGGAGCCTGACTCCAGGTGGGGCAGGAAGTCATTTGGTGAAGTTGCTAAGTCTCAAGTATAGCAAAGACTATTATCTCCCACCTTGTAGGTAGTTAGTACCTCCAGGATCAGTGATGGTTCCCGCTGGGCCTGCAGTTAAAAATGCGGATTTCATGAATGTTACTATCCTATAAAATTTTGGAGTTGAACCAAGGAAAGGACAGACTGGGAAATGTCATTTTTCAGTTGTTCATGCTGTGTTTTGTTATATATCCCGTTAGTGGTTTTTTGCTTATAAGAGAACACGGACGTTACTTTAATGGAAGTCCTGTTAAAAATGTTGACATGGGTCCAATCAGATCAGTGTGTTGCATTTGCAGTAAAGGCTGCAATGGGCAAAGGAGGGAAGGGGGGATGGCATGGTGAAGAGAAAGCTTGCCCACAGCAGCTTCAGGAGGACCAGGGGAGGCAGTGAAGGAGTGGGGAGGAAAGGGAATCAGTCCTCATTCTTCCTTTACCTCCACCCTGCCCCCTTGGTACCCCACACTGTGCCCCACACTGCTGGGCACCTGCTGGTCACACCTGCTGGGACGTCATTCTTAGCAGGGCAGTTGGGCTGTTTGCTGCTTATTCTGCACATTTTGGCTTCTCTTCTTTATGGGATGCTGAATTAGACGTACGATAACAGTACCCGGTGGGAAGGCCCATTGGTTGATTTCACTCAATTCCTCCATCAACGGATACTTATGGAGTAACAATGGTGTGTGCAGCATGGGGCAAATTGCTAGGAAAAGATAACGAAGGTGGGGAAAAAGATGGCAGGTGCGCGGGTCCTGGGGAGGTCGACATGCTATACCTAGAACTCAGTGTGTATGGGACAGAAAAGAACAGGTACTTCATCATTTTAAAAAATGAATCCTTAATAATCTCACTCTTTAAACTTTAATTCTGCAAGAGATGTTAAATAACCCAGATCAGGGCTGCCCCTGTCATTGAGCTCGAACATGGCAAATCACCAGCTGGCTTCTTTTTTTTTTTTTTTTTAAAGATTTTATTTATTTATTTGACAGAGAGAGACACAGCAAGAGAGGGAACACC